ACATATAGACGCAAGTGTTAAAGAAATCTGTCAAACATTTGAAATCTTCTTGAATCAACCAGCCACACATTTCCGACTTGTTCATTGGTTGAACCAAGATTTGATAGATATTCGAGAGGATGATCCTTGGCCGGAAATTAAACAAAAAATTCATCATATACTTCTGAACAGGATAACTGATGAATTCACGAAGTGGGAGGAAGATAATAAAAAATGTCGAAAGGTCGAGCAAGAAATCTTCAACCAAATCAAATCCGAACTGCATCTTTTACAGAGTGATTTAGTGTCTATCGAAGGTGAACTGCATTCTGATTCCGATAGTGTCTCATCAGAAGAATATTATGGTTCAACAACTCGACGAAAATCATCACTCCTCTCAATAAAGCTTGGGCGATGTGGAGACTATGATTTTGGAGCGTTACATGCACAGCGATTACCAGTCCGATTGGTCGGCAAATTTTTGCATCCATTGGATACTTTGGCCAAGACACTGAGACATTCTAGTTTATACGAAACTTACGAATTTGCGAGGTGGAACAGGAAGAAAGAAGTGTTTCAGAAAGATCCACTCAATGTCGCCAAGGAGGTCTCCGAAAAGTTTCTTCAAAAGTTTTTGCATCCCAAAAAGGGCGAAGAAAATAAACTTCTTAACTTTGTTTCAGAAATGTTTGATCGTCCAAGAGAATTACTGGAGGTTATTGAAGAGAATATCCCTGCAATGATCCAATCCAATGAAGAATTACTAGACCATATTTCACATTGCCGCATCGATGCAAATGAATCAAGAGAGACATATGAAAAGATGATGGTAGGTTTAGAAACTTTAAAACATCAGCTTTTGGAGTATGGAACTGGACAAATTTACGTGGATGATTTTATTGGAAGGGAAATTCGTCTTCGGGACGATTATAACGACTACGGAGATTCTGGTGATTTCCGATGTTCAGCAATCATTCTAAATTGCTCGAACAACACTCGAGGAGGAGACAGACGCATCCAGAGGGGGATTTGGACTGCTCTACAAAATGCGAGTTTATACGACGAGGAGGAAAAACGTGATGAAGCAATCATCATCAAAGTCTATCTTCCTCTGGCCGGAATCTCCGAAACCTTTGCAGAAGTTACCAAATTACGGTACACACTTTTAAAAAACCGATAATCTTAATGCTCCTTTGCAATTTGTCAAGCATATAGAAAAAAGATTATGTAGAATTTTTGAAACTGTTTTCCTTATCGGTTCATTCATTCCTTTTCAAAGATCTGAAGAGGACGGCATATGATAAAACCTTTAAATAAGTTGATTTTTTTATCTTCCTTCAGATTTCTGGATCACCCATGTGTAGCAAAGTTTTTGGGTATTCACCATTCTGATTCTCCAATCCCTGCATTTGTTTATATGGATCACCTTCGAAGTCTAAAAATATATAGAGAATCGACCTTTTGCAATCTTCGAGTGGAGATTCCGAGATTTCTGGAGGAGGTGGTTTATGGCCTTGAATATCTTCACAGTAAAAAGCTTGTCCACATGGAACTATGTCAGAACACCATTACAGTATGTTTTCATTTATAGTAAGAAGAGAAGTACATATATTTGAAACATGAAAAAAGGAGATGATGAAAGTATTTTTTTTCGCATTTTGAAATTTAAATATTGTATGTAAAGAAGTATTTTCTTTTGTTCTTGTAGGTAGACTTTGATGGGAATGTTAAACTAACCGGTGGATGTCTTCCACGTTTAGCCAGTTTCCCAATGGACAAGGAGTCTATCGGTGTGGGTGATTTTGCATACTTGTCACCGGACGTTCTGAGGGGGGAAATATATGTTGCGTGCGCAGACGTGTATGCGCTTGGTCTTCTGATTTTCGAATTGTTGCTCAATACTCGATGTTTTGACAACCAGAGAATGATGACTCTTGATTTGTTTACCAGCAAAGTGGATCCCATTGGAATGAACGATGTCATAAATAAATGCCAAGAGGTGAATATGACTGAATCAACTAAAAATCTTATTGTGTGGTGCATGGATCCATCAGCGGATAAAAGACCTCCAGTCCAAGTGATTGCAGAAAAGATGAGTGATTTTAAAACTGAACAGTGTGCACAGAATCTCAGACGTAGTGGTTTTCAAACCAGAAGACACCAGGCCGTAAAGCGTGTTCCGTCTAAACAAGCTTCTTAGCGAGATTTTGAAATATTTTTGAAGAAAAATAGATTTCCTATGAACATAGCTGACAAAATAACTACCTAATGGAGTCTCCATGAAAAAGGAATATGTCTCATCAATATTCATGACACATTTCCTTTGGTTTAATAAGTAATATTATTATTTTGTCAATTCAGTATTATACCGGTAGATAAAATGTGTGAATTATGAAAATAAAACAAAACTTTTGGGAGTTCTTTTAGCATTACCATATGATAATGAAAATAATTTTTAACCCAGTACTGCCGTTTTCAATAGCTTTTGCAAAAGAGCAGTTCTGCCGTTACCTTGAAACGGTATAATTATTCTGTTGTCTTCAAACTCAAAATATTGTATACTTCGACTTTTTAAACTTGCATACGTTACCGCGGTCTGTGTGCCTTATTAAAAAAAACTTGTACCAAATATTACAAGGTTTTTAGCAACCAAATGAAATATAAATATTTAATCGTTCTGCAGTTCCATTAAAATCACTCAAGTGTCGAGGGAAATAAAAACAAATCTATTTTCAATGTAAAGTACCGCGTAATCGATCCATTTAACCATTGATCAAAGGATTGGCAACAGCTATTGAAACGACAGTACTGGTTCGATAAACATGTTTAAAAGTCTTTATGCTTCTAAGTTATTTTACTTCCTGGTTTAGAAGTTCTTAATGTTGACAAGGGGTGCAGACAAATCCAATACGAATGTTTATTTTCTAAATACTGTTTTAGGGGTTTAATTTTAATCCCGATTCCGAAATAATTTTATCTCTCAACTTTTATGAGATAATTCCTCGTATTCCCTTTTGGCTATGGTGGAAAAATGAATGAGGTTGAGGGTGAAAAGGGATTATAATTTACGAAAATAATCGCAGAATGTTTGAATGAATACTACATGTATTGTTATTTCTAAATGAATTGTATCACAATTACAAAAGTTTTCTTAGTATATGGGGTTTTTAGACATGCCTTTAATCTAAAATCCCAAAGCTTTTTATTACATGTATATTGCTAGGGAAAATCAAAATAATTATTGATAGATAATTTAATAATTATTATTAATAAAATATTGTACACAATTTTTTTTTTATTAAAGCAATGTGAAATCTTACCGGGCCTTATTTAAATTCATAAACGAAGTCCATCTGATTATCTATGTAGGGTGTATTTATGTAATAAACATAATAATTAAACAAAAGCAGCGCGTGATGAAAAATGTGAAGTACATTCCAGTTTTTGGACTATTCATAAGGAATTGAATTCGAAGAATTTAGACATAATTTTTTTTTACATAAACATGATCTTATTTAAAGGGTGTTACTGCATGAGAAACCTTCCCATTTAAAACACTTTGTTAATTAAATAAAGTGGTTACACAATTTCATGCTCTTGTTTTCTACCTTTAGCTATCTTCCTTGTTCCAGCATTATCCAATGAAATAGATTGGTTCCTCGTACCTTCTCCAATGTTGCATGTATTCCCAAGGATAGGTGCTATTGTTGAAAATTGTTCAATCATACGACACGCGATCATCGCCCTTTTCTTTGGAAATATTTTATGAATACTGGTCACGTTTTGTTTAAATGTGCATGTAGTGTACGCACAGTGTTCACATACAATTTCATTTTGGGGTTGAAAATAGATTTTAGCAATTACTTCATTTCAAACATGTTTCAATATGACCAAATAAAAATGTTAAGAAATACCCTTATTTTTTTTAATTTCTAAAGTCTATGCAAATATATAAATATTCTTCTAGCTATATTAATATTAAACATGAATTACTTTAATATACTAGGATATTTTTTTTAAATCATAGATTTTTTTCTTGCAAAGAAGAGTTAATTCTACCTTGGTTTCTCGATTCGTTGGTTGATTAATTTAGTTGTGGCCATCGGAAGGTTTGGTTTGGTTTGAACATATTTTATTGTTTTGATGTTATAACAAAAGGATTGGACACAAGTTCTTATAAACTTAGAACATCCTCTCCTTTACAACAATTAATAACACAAAGTATTTTTCAAAATTAATTTACACAGGAACCAAAGGTAAAGAAGATTGTCTAACATAAGTAATGCATGTACAGAATTGAATTAATGTAGTATGGACAAACAAATCTAAATACATAACTCAAAAACGACCAGATCTCTTGATAAATAATTGCACATTTAAAAACAAGACAATATTGATGTAACCATCAATTGTCGCCCGGGAAATATATTAAGTAAACAATGAAAAATGAATCTTGATCATCAAACCGCTTCGATATGTGTGAAAAGCGTGCGTCTTATTGATGGAGACAATACTCGCGAATATTTTGAAAACTTACAGTCGGATAAATGACAAACAAAAACGATACCATTTTAAACTTCAATTCCTCGAGTAAATTTGGCTGCATAAAATATAAATTGAAGTTAGATACATGCATCACCTATATTCAAAAATGTATTTGATTTTCAATTTTAGAATATAAAACACGAACTGTGCAGAGTACGTTTTTATGCGAGAAATAAAATTCGATGTTCTTAAAAAAAGGACCTGTCGTTTATTCGATAGAAAAATGATATACAACTTTATATATTAAATATGAAAAAAAAATATATTTTTACAGATTCACTTTATTGAAGTAAATATATTATGTATCTCGTAATTTTTAAAGGAAAAGAACATTCTGATTAACAATATTTTCAATGTTTAGGAAACCTTTAATTTTGAATAACTACTCCCTCCCCAATCCTCATATACCAACACTTAAACTTATATGTATAGAGCAGCCCGGTCCTCCAGGCTGCAATAAACTTTCATTTTCAGAAATACTGGTTGAATTATCTCCCCATAATAGAACGTGAGTGTCTACAATACGTAAATTTATCATTCTAAAAATAGCATTGAACAAGTCGTTTCTTGGGGAAGTGTGATTCGCACAAGAAAAAGAGAAATGATATGCGTCTTCTATTTTTCCACAAGTGCATAGTAGACTGTTTATAATATTACACCTAAATAAGTCTTTATTTAGAACACAATTGTGTCTTAATCTAGTATGAATTACACTCCAGTAACGATCACCAAAAGTAAAAAAGGACGGGGTAGGTGTTTTCTGAGGGTTTACACAGTTTTTAAAGGAACCAATTATAGTGCACCCATTCTCAATATAAGGGCACAAATGCCTCTCTGATTTTTAAAAAAAATGAAGTTCAAGAAAACAATTTTTCTATCAATTACCTTTGGAAGAAAGTATCTGAAGATTTTGTTTCCAGATTTTTTTTCATCAAATTATAATACATGGAATAATGACAAGACGATAAAGCAGAGGGTGATTTTATTCAGAAATGTAGCTTGAAATGTACGTTACACTTTCTTCAATGTCCAAAAAGATATGTAAAAAAAAAATATAGTCATTAAAATCACAATTGGAATAGCTCATCTTAACACCAGCACATCCTACCAACTCTGTCAGCAACATATTTTCTCGGCATACGAACGTGCGTTTGATTTTTCCTTTCAAAAAACAATGGTTACTTTTTGATCCAGATGTATAAAAACATTTTTTAAATATATGCTTTAAATTCTTCTCTCTGTTTTGTTCAGAGCGATCAGTTGGGAATCTTGTCATTTTCTATAGATACTGGAACCTAACATGTACATGTAGTAAAATTCTATTTTGTAGTTACTGTCTTTTTTAACATATATCCATTCCGATTTAGAAAACTACGTAAATGTAACGTACATTTCAAGATATATTTCTGTTTAATAAAAAGCTTAAAATTCATCTAAAAATTCATCGTTTTGTTTCAGTTTATTAAAAAAAGATTCTCTATGTAATCACATTGTGTTATATGTCACAATCACCACTATAAAGACACGATTGCCTCAGAATATGAGTAGGTAACGTATATTTCAAGCTTGTAATAATATGTAAATTAGTAATAAGAAAATTTTGAAAAAAAAAGCAATTATTGACATAAAAATCATTTCAATGAAGCGTTTTAAGGCAGTAATATAAGAAATCACAATGCAACAAACGAGGTTATTTGTCATCAACATGAATGTCACGTCACTTCGGTAACGTTCATTTCACATATTATTGGAGAGTCCCCTCCACCTCAGTTCATTACCATTCTTTTGTGCTGTTTCGCTGAAATTGACACCGGTCATAGCCTAGTTACTTCTACCTGTGTGCAAGGGTACAGACAAATAAATATAAGAGTCAGACGTATTTTGCTATGATCTAACAAATGCTCGTGTTTGGCCATTGAAACTTAACATAAATCTATTCCGAATATATCCATCGACAGTTTGTTAACAATTTCATTTAGTATGTTGCAACATCGTTTTTTAAAACACAAACATACGTTCTTTTCAGCAGATCTGGAAAAATATAACCCAAAATGCAATGATTCAAACAAAACTGAGTATTGTGTGCCTTTCAGTATTTGAAATGTACGTGACTGTCTTGTGTTCTGGGTTTAGGCCTATTTGTTTCTTTTTTTCTATTTTTTGTTTCTTTTTTACCAATTATAAGCCTATGCATACCTTGTTTTAAATTATCATCAACAATTAAATTAATATTGACGTAAAGTCGCATATTAAAAGTAAACAAACTGCAAAAAGGTTGCCAAAGATGAATTTAAGACACTTAGAAATAAATTTTCTAGCATGTGGTAACAGTCTACCACAGTTACGAGGATTGGGGATGCATTTAGATGGATTTATGTGGTCAGTTGTCAAATGGATTGTAACGATAATTTTGTTTCGTTCGTGTAAACGCAATTCATTGACTAAATTAAAAAAAATGTCAGTTAGAAATACGTAAAATGTACGTTAGCATACGTAACGTACATTTCAAATATAAAAATCAATTCTCTTCCACAAGCGTACGTTAGACACGCAATATTTTGATACTATTTGAACTTGCATATCATAAGAAATGCATCATACAAGTTTCGTATTCAGAAATATATACCAGGTATCAAAATTATATTACATATAACTGACCT